CTATTACCCTGGCCCCGGCTCTTTTCCTTTGGTCTTTTTCCCTTGGCCTTTCCCTTGTTTTTACCCTTGAACCCTTTGCCTCATTCAGCATCAGCGCTCAGGCATGTCCGGCCCCTTGGATCAGGTCAAGCAAGTTCAGTTTAATTCACGCCCCGGTCCTCCTCTCCCCCTTGTCCCATCATAAACCCCCTTCTCTTAGCTTCTATCCACACCCCCTGCCACCACACAGACACTCACGGACAGCACTCATAATTCAATGAGTGTGTACGTGTACGATTACAGTGACGCTGTATGTACGAGTAATGGCGTGTACCTTGGTACCTAAACACACGCACACACACACACACACGCACACACACGCCCCACAGACAACACCCGATAATCATACACCCTCCCTTCACCCCCAAGGTAGAGCTTCCTGCCATTCTCTCTAGATGACTTTACGGGGGTGGTGGTAAATTACCACCCGAAGTGGTGGGAAAGCGCCCCCCCGGGTCCCCCTTCCATTCTCCGTTTTGTATTCTACGCGTGCCTGCCTTGCTTTATACAAAAGCTCCCGGGAACCTCACCCCATTCTCCTCTCCTTCCCTCTGAAGTTCACTCATTCTTTCTCCCTTCAGTCCTTTCCCCATCGTTGTCTTTGTTTTTCAACTTTTTCTCTCTTTATTGAATCTTACAACCTCAGACCTTAGTCGCTTTTAATACCTGGACCTCACTTCTCCCAAACAAAAACGAACTTGACGACGCTACCACAAAACACCCCTTTTGTCTTGTACACTGTCAAGATATTGCTTGCACTTGAACAGAGGACAATTTTTTTTTTCTCTTGCGCACACGAGATTTTCGACGATTACCATCACATCACATCACCAAGAAACTCTTTAATCCCAAGCTTCCCCGACTCTCCACCCCTCTGCTCCCCCCCCAAAGATCACCAAGTCGACCCCGAACCATAGGCTTTCCTTGCGCCGGTGCCCACCTTATCAACGACACCTCGCCTTCCCTCCGATCTGCCTCTGCAACTCCGCCTGTTACTCGACCAGTCGCAATCAGTGATTGCCACAAGACCGTCCCGCTGGTCCCAGTCCCGTTGCCACGCTGCCTTCTATTCTGGGTAGCTGCTATCCATTGCTCTGACAAGCTTCGAACTGGTATGTGACAGCGCCGTCTTGCATGGCTTGGATAGTCTATTGACATTGACTGTAGAGCAACAGCCTTCACACAACCGCCACAATGATCGGCCAAGAGTCTAGTACCAGCAACATGGGCCGCGGTGCCTACGACACAACTGGTGTTCCCAAGCCCCCTCCCCGCCCCCGATAAAGCTCTTTCGGAGTTTCATCGCCCGTCGAGTCTGGACCTCTCACGTCACACGATTCCGACGACTCGTGAGCTTCATGCCCGAAGCCACTTTTAATCCTTTCGAACTTTGCCATTTCCTATCGACAGTTTTAATACCCTTTCTGGTATTCGATAGGGTGTACGTCAACACCCGTCGATACCTCTTACCCCCCCAACACCGGCCGTCAAAGATATCATCCTATGGTCCCAGTTTGATACCAGGTGCCCTTTTGACAGGTGTTGGCTTGTTTTCACTACCCCTTTTGTGGGAAATCTTGCTTTTTCTCGGCTGCGGGCCACTGCATGGCGTTCATACATAGACGGATTGGGAAAGACATTGCTTTTTCGCTTTTCTTTTGTTTTTAATGGGTGGAGTCGCTCCAAGGTCACATCTCAGACCCTCCCCTCCAGTTGAGGGCAAACAGAAGAAGAGAAACAAGTCCTCGCGGACACGACTATGCAAGGGGTCAAGCGCACCCTCGAGTGGTTAGCGACATCTGAGTCCTATTTTGGTTTTGCTTTTGTGTGTTTTTGGTCATTCGGGAAAGAAAAAGTTTGGATTTGATTTGATCTGATTTTCGCATATAGACTTGGGTTTTCCTTTCCTGTTTGGTTCCGTTTATTTGGGAGAAGACAAGAGGAAAAATATGTCGTTTCCTACTACCTTTCTTTTGTTTTATTTACGAGAGCTACAGCCATCACCTCGCGGGAGCTTAGCCTTACTGGGGTATCGACCCAAAAAGACATTTTTCCTTACTTTTTCCTGCTCACGTCAACATGTTTGGAATCTTTGGCATTGTTGAAGCCGCCACTGGGCTGGATCCAGGTGGGCAAAAAGGAAACGTCAAAATAGATGGATACCCTCTTTTAGATAGACTTTGTAATAATAGTTCCAGAACCAGGCTGGCATTACATGATACTCTGACTGCAGCTCTTGAGACTTGTGTGTGTGTACATTTAGTCTTGAGGTTGAAGTTTGAAGCTGTTGGTTTCATGTGTTTTCTCTCTTTTTCTATATTCGGTCTTGTAGAGTATATTAACATGTACGAGAGTACGGAGTGCCTGGTGATGTAATTGTACGAGTAGTATTAGATATCTTGCGAGGGGGGAGGAGGGGGTCTCGAGGGTTGAGGCAACCTGCGGAACGGAGCATATAAAGCGTATAATACATGATTCATCATACAACTTTCCTTTTTTTTCTTCTTTCTTTCCCGTGCGTGTGCGTGTGTGTGTGTGGGCATTGGTGGGGGGGGGGGGAGACCGAGACACTAACTAAGGATTGGGAAAATAAGGATTGGGAAGTGAGGTACATTGGGGGGGGGGGGGGGGGTATCATATGTATCGTACATGAACAAAAACTGTCAAACCCCGGAGTATTGAGAGTAAACGTATAGGCGAGGGAGGCTGTACAGAGAGAACAAGGTTCATAGGGAGGTTTTGGTTCTCTTACATTGTACCCAACGGTATGTTTCCTAGGGGGGAAGGGGGGGGTTGGGTTTGCCGAGACCGTTGCACTTTTTTTTTTTGATTACATTCTTTTTTTCTTTTTGTATAGAAAAATCTATCTGGCTGTTAGTTGTCTCTGCCTTTTCTTCTTCTTGTTGTTTTGGTGACATGTTCATGTACGAGGATGGAGACGTTTTTTTCTTTCCTTTTTCTTCTTTCTTTTTCTTTTCTTTCCCTGTGTCACGGGAGAGCCTTGCATGTAGGCAGATGTGTGAAAGAATGCATAGGTGGCATAGTAGTAATAATAATACATGTGTGTAGATGGGAACGAAGTTATTGTTCATTGATAAAGAGTGAGAGCGTATATGAGTGTATGATGGAGTACCTTTTATTTTATTTTTATTTTAAATTTTCTTCTCCCTTCCTTCCTCATTTTTCTTCTTCCTCTTCTTCCTTCTTCCCCCTTCCTCCATCTCTTTCTCACTTTGTTGTATGAACTTGTCCTTTTATCGATAGTCATCGTCCCCCCCCCCAATCATTCTCAATATGTCGTTGCCGCCAGGGGCTATGTGATGAAGCCGGGGTTATAAGATCACAAAAAAAGAAAAAGAAAAAAAAAGCACAAGTACAAGTACAATCATGCGCACTGAACTCTCATCTTGTCTTCTCTTCTCTCCTGTAACACCCTCTCTCTCTCTCTGTATCAGACACTTGGCACTCGGATCTCTCTCCCTCAACAGTTTCTCGGGACTTTTATTTCATTCTATTTCATTTTCAAATTTAGGAGGGTGTTTTTTTTTAATATTTATATATATATTTTTTTCCAATTTTTTATTTTATTTTATAAATATCTCTTTCTGTCATGACCCGAGGTCTTTCTTCTTCTTTCCTTCCTTGCATTCTTCCCCCCCTTTTCCTTTTCTCTCCCTCGACATGTAGACGTCGTAGTATCTCATTTCATCGCGAGTTGAAAATGAGCTACTTGCGAATACCATCAGCTCGGGGGGGGGGGTTGATCATGGACGGAAAAAAGAAAGAAGATCATGCATTACTGCGTCCCCAGGTAGCGGCAGCTCCGAGTCTAGATATGCAAGCTGTCTAAACGGCTGGGTTGGCGATTTTTGTACCATGCTAATCATCATCGTAGATCGGGATCCTTCGTCTTTCGATAGACCGAAATTCTAAATCATCATTCTCCCTTTCTGTACTTTGTACCTTGACGTGCAATGTCTCTCCTTCCCTACCGTCCCGTCACAATTTTCTTTGGGGTGGTGGGGGGGGGGGACGGAATGTGGTCTTTTTGTTTTAAATTCCCTCTCTTTTTGGGTCTGCCTTCTGTCTTGTCTTGCTTTGTTTGTATACTCCTTCTACGATCGTCCTACCCGCTCATCCCTCATCCCGTCCCATCCATGTCTTGCGCAACACGGTACACGAACACACCCATAGATGGAGAGAGGGAGATGGAGAGAATTAGAGGGAGAGAGAGAGAGAGAGAGAGAGAGAGAGAGAGAGAAGAAGCAGAGTCACGGCTCAGCCGCTTCGTCTTCTCCGATTGGCAGCCGGGGATCGACGGTGCAGCCGGCTGGAATGTGTATGTGTGCGTGTGTGTGTGCCTGTTTTGCCCCCAGTGTCTCTCGCGTCATGTCATCTGAAATGTTTCCGATAGGACTCTTTTATAATACATATATATTATACATGTATGTACATACATAGATAAAAACGAATAAATAGATTGAATTGTCTATTGTGTTGAATCATTCATGGACATTCTGCTTGGACCCTCTTTGTTTTTTTAGTTTTTTTAGATGGAATCGTCTATTGTGTTGAATCATTCATGGACATTTTGCTTGGACCCTCTTTGTTTTTCTGTTTTTTTCTGTTTGTTTTTTTTTGTTCCCATATCAGGTACGCTGCATGACGATTTGGGACATTTGACCTGTCCACTCCGTACAACTTCGTATAAGAGAGAGAGAGAGAGAGAGAGAGAGTGTGTGTGTGTGTGGGGGGGGGGGGGGGGGGGGGGGGCGGGTGTATGGTAGTAACTGTAGTTTTCCATCTTCAAAAGTCTGAACAGGATTGGACCTATGTCTTGTCGAATAGATCAGAGCTCGGGATATACATCACTGTCATGACGTAACGGGTTAGCTGGCTGCCAATGTCATTCATCAAGAGGAAGGGAAAAAGAGAGAAAGAAGGCAAGGTGGAAAGATGACTCACACCCTCCTCTGCAGCGGCATCTCCCTCCTGATCCTCTCCACCTCATCAATGTCAATGTCAACAAACCCAATCTCACCGACAGCCCCATCCTCGGCCTCACCCTCCGGGGTTCCTTCCGGGGCAGCATCGCCCTTGACACCCTTCAGGCGGAGCACCACCCTGCCCCAAGGGTCGACGACCATGCTGCGCCCGTAGCTCGCCCTCGTGGCCGTGTGGCGGCCCACCTGCGCGGCGGCGACGACCCAGCTCTGCGTCTCCACGGCCCTGGCGCGCAGCAGCGTCTCCCAGTGCGCCGCGCCGGTCCGGAGCGTGAAGGCGCTCGGGAAGGTGACGACCTGCGCGGGGCTGTCTCGCCACCGGCTGCGCCTGCCCGGCTGCGCGAGCGACAGGGCCGCCTCGGGGAACCGCAGGTCGAAGCAGATCAGGCTGCCTACGCGGCCGACCGGCGAGGCGAACGGCCTCGTCAGCGAGCCGCCCGGCTGGACCGTCGCGCTCTCCCGGAGGGACCCGTAGTCGAAAACGTGGAGCTTGTCGTACGTCGCCGAGCCGTCCACGATCCCCTCGGACGTGATGTACAGGTTACGGTTGAGCAGCCTCTTAGCGTCGGCCTGATGCGTTGCCACGTCGTGAATGCCCACGTGTACTGCCACGCCGTTAGTCCTGGCCGCCTCGCGTAGTCCGAGGACGAAGGGGGACGTCTCGTGCGGGACCGCCAGTTTGAGTGACTCTTCGGCGTTGGTGGCAATGTAGTCAGATGCTTCGGGGAGGAAGAGGATCTTTTTTTTTTTTTTGGTACCGTTTCGTTTTTTTGTTTTTGTTTTAGCATCGTGCGTGAACTTGAAATGTATGAATATATATATATATATATATCTGGTCCAAGTATTACTTGCAACAGCAGCAGCAGCAGCAACAGTAGTAGTAATAGTAGTAGTAGTAGTACTGCTTCATCATCTTACCTTGGCTCCTCCCTGCGCCGCTCGTGCTACCAGCCTAACGCATTGCTCTAGATTGCCTGCTAAAGAGGGAGTAGAGCATATCTGCCCTATGGCCTTTTATTGTTTGCTACCGTCAGCCTTTGCTTGATTGTATGAGCGCAGGGGGGGTGGGGGGGAGGGAGGGCGCATACTGCAGTCGGCATCTTGTCTTGTCAGGTTGGCGTATATATATATATATATATATGTGCTTCTTTTCCGCGTATATGCGTGCGTGTGCGTGTGTCTGTGTATGCTTCTATTATGATGATATGGAAGCTGTTTGATGGATAGACGAGCTACCAAGTAGATAGATGTGATGCGTTGTTATTGTCTTTTATTGTATGTGTCTTCGTTTGACATGTAATAAATACGAATACGATGTGACAGATGGGGCGGGGAGGGGAGGGGGACCATCAGATCAGGCGGGGGTTTGGATGGACAAGATAAGGAGTGCGCTGCCCTACGCTTCTCTGTCCACTGTCCAGTGTGTTCCCCTCCTACTTCCACGGGCCTCACAGCGGGGGGCCCCTCAGAAACCCAAACAACAGAAATCCACCACCCCTCCCTAAAAAAAAAAAAAATTTAAAAAAATTATTTACACAAGAAAAAAATAAATAAATAAATACCAAAAAAACAACCGTCACGTCACCGTCACTCGTTCACCTTGTCTCCTTCACCTTGTTGGCTCAGGACTTTTTCTTCTTTCCTTCTGACAACTTTTGCTCATACATCCCTTTTCTTTCTAAATGCCCATAAACACATCTATCCTCATTTGTCTCCATCTTCTCCTTCGACCCGCACATATCGGGATACCAAAAATACCAAGGCCTCAATTGCGTGGGCCATCATCCACGTCTCATCAGTCTCACCGCTTCCTCCTACATTTCACTATAACCAAGATGCCACGGAACAGAACAGCTTGAAAAGGCTCAACTTCTATTGTCTTACAACCAAGAAAAAAGAGCAACATCCGCTATCTCATCTGCCTCCATGAATTCCGAAGAGGGAACGGAGAGAAAGGGGAGAAAAAAAAGACCGTCTCAATTCCATTTAGACAGAGCCGATACCCAGCAGCCTAGGCATCGCATCACAAGATTAAGAATCATCACCACCTCCAGCTTTCTTTTCCTCTCCTCTCTTTCTCCCCCGTCCTCCCTTATCCGGAAAATACAGAGGAGGGAGAAGAAGCGTGTTCCCGGTCTTGGACGTGTCATACCCTCGCTTCTGTTTTCTTCGTCTCGTCTCGTCTCAATCCCAACCGAAGCCCACTCCTTTCCGATATGCCCTCTAGTGGCACTAGAAAAAAAGAAAATTTGGTAAGAAAAGCAAAGTAAAGTAAAAGGAAGAAAAGAGAGGGAGAGAGAGAGAGAGAGAGAGAGAGAAAAGTCAGAACCAACGCCGTGCTAACAAGTGATCGAAGAAGAAGAAAGAACAGAGAGACGAGGCGACGACTTCTTCCCGTCACATATACAGCCGTCTTGTTTTCTCGAACCTTTTGCTTCTCAAAAGGTCAAGTCCAGCTTTCACTCTCTCCTCTTCTTTTCTTTTGATATTATTATTAACTCCTCCCTCTCCCAACTTGACCAGCTGGAGGATGGATTGCCGCCCTCTACTTGGGGTTCGACGCATCCAGGTGGATATATGCCCGTTGCAGGGCTAGGGACTCACGGCCGTCCCTCTCGAGCACAGACACCCAGTCCCTCAGCTGAATCATCCTGCCCTTCTCCTTATCCTCTCGCCACGTCCCCAAACGGTTACGCCCCTCGGTCGTCATCGCCATGTTGACCGCGGGCCCGGGAGCCCCGCCGCCCGAGCCTGGACCGCCCTTGCCCGTCCCGCCGCCAGACGACCCCTTCGACGGAGTGTTGGCGCCGCTACCGCCGCGCCCGACATTCATCCAGTCGTACGTCTTGCCCGTCTTCTTCTTGCCAAACAGGCTTCCCTTGCCTCCCAGTCCGGCAAACATGCTGCTCGTCATGTTCTGGTTGGCGTGGTTGTTGGCCTCGGCCGTCTTGGCCGCCGCCGCCTTCTTGCTCTCCTTCTTGCCCGGAGCCTTCTCCGGGTCGGGAGCCACCGACGACGACGCCGGCGTGCTAGGCGCCACGCTGCCCGCTCTCGAAGGCGCCGCAGATGAGTCCGGGATGCCTTCCTTGCGCTTCCGACGCTTACGCAGACGCGCCTCTTCCCATTCGCGTTCCTGCTTGGCCAGGTCCCGCATCGTCGTCATCATGTACGACGAGATCTTGGCCAACTTCTTGGGTCGCACCTCGCTGCCATCTTCGATGGGACCTGGAGGAGAAAAAAAAGAGAGGAGACTGAGTTTAGCAGGGAGCTGTACAAGCCAGGGTTCGTCTTCACCGTATACTTACGTTTCGATAGGTTGGCTACCGGAGCCGGAGTGCCATCCGACGCCAGTCCGTCCACCTCCATCATTTCGGGGACCTGCATGTTTACAGGTGCGGCGGCGGAGGTCCAATCCTCGGGCACTTCTCCGTGCGATGTTTTCTGTCTGTGTCTTGCCACCGAGTTGGCATCCTCCATGAGGTCACGCAGCCTCGTCTTAGTAGCGATGGATAGCAGAGCGAGCTGATCCACCAGGTACGCGTCGTGCGGGATGAAGGACCCCGCCGTTTGGATCATGGTCTGGCCCTCCCCCACGGGCTTCATGTTGACCGTCACAGATGGCTCTGTAAATTGGTTGGGCAGCTTCATCTTCCCCATGGATTGGTTGCTATTCTTCAGATCCAGGTTGAGGCTCAGATGGTGCTCCCCAGCGATCTTACCCGCGCGGTGGTGCAGTAGAGCCACGAGCAGGAACGGATCGTTGATCTCTTGCGTCCTCTGGGCGCCTAGACGCATCGAAGACTCTGTCCATGCCTTCTCCGCGGCCTGCGCAGCCTGCCTCTCCTGGTCCTTATCGGAGATTGTCTGAGCCGGCTGGTTGGCGGGCCCAGCTCCGTAGAAGCTAGACTTGCCGCCGGGAGGGTGCTGGGGAAAGCCCGACCGAGCCTCGGGGTCGAAGTAGGTCGAGTACATGTCTGACATGAACTGCTCTTCGGCCCTCAGGTCGATGCCCGTGCCGGCCAGCGAATCAGTGACATCGTATTCGTAGTCCTTCGTCGGTCGCTCGGCCGGTCTCTGGGGTGGTCCCATGGTCCCGGTGGCCTGCACAGGAGGCGCCGGTGCTGGCACGGGTGGCGGCGTGTTCATGGGAATCATTGCCGCATTCGTGTACTGAGGCATCGCAGGGGGTTGCTGCTGCTGCTGCTGCTGCTGCTGCTGCTGCGGCGGCGGCGGCAATGGCAACGGTTGAGGCGCCTGGACCGGTGTCTGGACTGGCGTCTGGACCGGTGTCTGGACCGGCGTCTGGACCGGCGTCTGGACCGGCGGCGTAGAGCTCGGTCGCGTGTCGGGGAGGTTCAGGGTCGGTGTTGACACGCCATTTGCGTATGGCGATGGCTGGCCCGACGGGAGGGCGGGACTAGGCGCGCTCTGGGGTGAGCCAGTGCCGCCGCCGCCGCTTGGGGGCGTCGCGCCCGTCACCGGGCTCATGGCGTAGGGAGAGTTTGCATAAGGCGAGTCTGGCTGCTGCGACGGGGTATTCCCGTTGGTGCGAATTTGCGGCTGCTTATTAGGTGGTGGTGCAAAGGCCGACTGGGACGCCGCAGGGGAGGGACTGTGCTGAGGAGGCGGCGAGAATGCCGGCTGCGGCGTTTGTGATTGGGGTTGCGCCATAATCATGGATATTATGGCTGGCCACACGCGCACCACACACAGTAGAGTGCAGGCAGGCGGGCGATGAGATGAATAAGAGATGAAGGGACGGCCCAGGAGAAAGATTTCAACAGGCCGTGAAGCCCGTCACGGTTGATAGAGCTTCTCCGCCCATCCGAATAGTTGGGTCGCGGGACCGCAGCGCGTTTCCTGGGGACAATAATGACGCCGTGTCTTTCGTGATCGGGTATTCGCCGTCTGATGGGGGGGTTCTTAGTTGCTGGCGATAGGCGGCTGGACGTAGGGATGAATCGAAGCTCACGATCGGGTGGGTTAGATGTGCAAGTCGCCAGACAGCAGTTGGAACTTTGGGGGGGTCGCGTAACGGTGTCACGTGAGAGAGATATCACGTGTTATTTATACTCCTGGATATAAGCCGGTATTTAGCCGCTGCCACTACATATGCGCATCAGTCCTAACATATAGATTCATATACTAAGTACTATGAGTAATACTGCGCTACTCTTACCTGTAGCTTCGAGTCCCAGTAGCTCGACGTCCAATGCACTCCAGCTTGCTCCCTTGCATCACCAAGCTTTGTGCGCTGCTTTCCCCCGGGTCCCTGCTTGGGGTGGAAGAATTGCTAAAACCGCGAAGCCCCATTCCATGCGACGTCTACTTCTAACATCATAGAGGACAAGCAGCAGTGCTGCGTATACGCCATCGCTGGAAAGAACCAGGACAAAGAGCCGAAAAGAAGAGAAGAGAAGAGAAGAGAAGGAAGAAAGAGGCAGCACGATGGCATCGAAACGCAAGGCTGCGGCCATGAATGCCGCCGCTGCGGTTAACGAAGAACCAGTTGATCCCTCGGACGAACTCATGTTTCTCTGCCTAGGTGGAGGAAACGAGGTCGGAAGGTCGTGCCATATCGTCCAATACAAGGGGAAGACTGTCATGGTGAGTACTGGACGAACCAAGAGTGATGGCGTCCCCATCCGACGTGCGTGGAGACGAACGCGACAAAATGCTTATTCTGATGATGACAGCTTGATGCTGGTCAGCACCCGGCCTACGACGGCCTAGCCGCGCTTCCGTTCTACGACGACTTTGATCTGAGCACTGTAGATGTGCTCCTAATCAGCCAGTAAGCCTTTCCCGATACATATATACGTGACATACCTGGAAGAGGATAGGACGAAGAGAGAGAGACAAGAAGAAAAAGAACGAAAAAGAACAAGGGCGCGTTGCGTGTTAATGGTAATGGTATTCACTTCTTCACGAAGAGGAACTGGTTGCTCCAATGTTCTTTTTTTCGTTGGTGTCCTCATTATGTTACTTTCCACCACTACAATCGAGATGAAATACAAAATATCACTCTTCTGCTTCCTGAGAAAGAAAAGCATCACTTTCCCTGTGACACAGATACCCCCCCTCTCGAATACCATTACCATGCGCAGCCCCCCTCCTTTGTATACAACTCCTGTACACGCACGCGAGAAGGAAGATGTAGATGGACATATAGAGGCGAAGAGGAAGAGAGAGATACCTATATAAAAAAAGAAACTGACAAGAGCACTGCAGTTTCCACGTCGACCATGCAGCATCGCTACCATACGTCTTGTCCAAGACCAACTTCAGGGGACGAGTCTTCATGACGCACCCCACAAAGGCCATCTACAAGTGGCTCATCCAGGACAGCGTGCGCGTGGGCAACAGCTCGTCAAACCAGTCGACGCAGCCCGTGTACACGGAGCAGGACCACCTGAACACGTTCCCGCAGATCGAGGCCATAGACTACCACACGACGCACACCATCTCGTCGATCCGCATCACGCCGTACCCGGCCGGCCACGTGCTAGGTGCGGCCATGTTCCTCATCGAGATTGCCGGGCTCAAGATCTTCTTCACGGGCGACTACTCGCGCGAGCAGGACCGACACCTGGTGTCGGCCGAGGTGCCCCGCGGGGTCAAGGTCGACGTGCTCATCACCGAGTCGACGTATGGCATCGCGTCGCACGTGCCCCGTGTGGAGCGCGAGCAGGCCCTCATGAAGACGATCACGGGCGTCCTGAACCGCGGTGGCCGCGCCCTTCTGCCCGTCTTCGCCCTCGGCCGCGCTCAGGAGCTCCTACTCATCCTCGACGAGTACTGGGCGAAGCACCCCGAGTTCCAGCGGTACCCCATCTACTACGCCAGCAACCTCGCCCGCAAGTGCATGCTCGTCTACCAGACGTACGTCGGCGCCATGAACGATAACATCAAGCGCCTGTTCCGCGAGCGCATGGCCGAGGCCGAGGCCACAGGCGACGGCGCCGGCAAGGGCGGACCCTGGGACTTCAAGTACATCCGCTCCCTCAAGAACCTGGACCGCTTCGACGACGTGGGCGGCTGCGTCATGCTCGCCAGCCCCGGTATGCTCCAGAACGGCGTGAGCAGGGAGCTCCTCGAGCGCTGGGCCCCCAGCGAGAAGAACGGGGTCATCATCACCGGTTACAGTGTCGAGGGCACAATGGCCCGCCAGATCATGCAGGAGCCCGACCAGATCCAGGCCGTCATGTCCCGCAGTATGGCCGGCGCTCGCCGCGGCGGTGGCGGCGGCGGTCCCGATGAGAAGGTCCTCATCCCCAGGCGCTGCAGCGTAGCTGAGTATTCGTTCGCCGCTCACGTCGATGGCGTGGAGAACAGGGAGTTTATCGAGGAAATGTCCTCTCCCGTTGTGGTATGTTTCCTCCCTCCCTATATCGAGGTATGCGAGGGGGGGAAAAAAGGCTGACCTATTATTATCAGATCCTCGTCCACGGCGAGCAACACAACATGATGCGCCTCAAATCCAAGCTACTCTCGCTCAACGCCTCTAAGACCAACAAAGTCAAGGTCTTCTCCCCGCGCAACTGCGAGGAGCTCCGCATCCCCTTCAAGTCAGACAAGACAGCCAAAGTAGTTGGCAAGCTGGCGTCGATCCCTCCCCCTCTGCCAACCAAGCGTGGCCGGGACGAGGACGGGGCCAAGAACGCCCAGGCAGCGGACGACGTCGACGCGCCCCTCGTATCAGGTGTGCTCGTTCAGAACGATTTCAAGCTCTCGCTCATGGCACCCGAAGACCTCCGCGAGTACGCCGGCCTGAGTACGACAACCATAACATGCAAGCAGCATCTCCGCCTGAGCGCGGCGGGTGTCGACCTGATCCGCTGGGCCCTGGAAGGAACCTTTGGCAGCGTCGAGGAGCTCCCCGAGATGCGCAAGGCCGCCAACGGCAAGGCCAATGGCAACGGGGTCGAGAGCGACGAGGACGACAAGACGGTCAAGGGCGAAGAGGAGGAGGAAGGGGGAGGGGAGCGCCGGATTGGGCAGCAGGAAGCGGCGGACGAGGAAGTCTCCCGTCTGGTGGCAGCGTACCTGGTAATGGGGTGCGTGGCAGTGCGTTACCGCAGCGACGGCAACGTCGAGCTGGAGTGGGAGGCCAACCTCCTCAACGACGGGATAGCGGATTCCATCATGGCCGTCCTGTTCTCGGTAGAGAGCTCCCCGGCCGCCGTCAAGAGATCGGGCAACGGCCACTCGCACTCGCACGATCATCATCATGATCAGCAGCTCAAGCAGAGACGGGAGCAGAGGATGGCCAACCCTCACAGCAGGCCCTCCCCCGCAGACCGTCTCGAGCGTCTCCTATGGTTCCTAGAAGCCCAGTTCGGCGCCGACAACGTCGCCCCCGTGGAGACGCCCAAGCTCGCGCCTGCCCCCGGCCCGGCCCCCACCCCCGCTGGATCGGCCGCTGCCGCTGCAGCAACCGATGCCGTCGCCAAGACCGAGGACGAAGAAGGACAAGATATCATGGATATGGAGCGCGGGGGGGACCAAGAGGAAGACCGACAGAAGAAGGAGATTGAGCGTCTGCACAAGATTGGCATTCCCGTCCCGGGTGTATCCATCTCGGTGGACAGAATGCACGCTACCGTCTGGCTCGAGAGGCTCGAGGTGGAGTGTAACAACAAGGTTTTTGCCGATAGGGTCAAGGCCGTGGTCGAGAGGGCTGTCGAGGTGACGGCTCCTCTATGGGTGTAGTAGTAATAGTAGTAGCTGTTGTCGTTGTCGTTGTTGTCTTGATTTCTTTTCTTTTTTTCCCCCTTAGTACTAAATACTATGCTATTAAAAAGTACCATTTCATCCATATCAAATCATTCTTCCTTCTTGTTATCCTTTTTTTTTTTTTGGGACAAGTCAAGTGTTTTCACCCAAGTATATATACAAGACAATACCTCATTCAACTTTATAATGCATACAGAGACCAGGAAATTTACGATACATCGTTCAACTTGGGAGTAAATGTAAACATGTAAACATAGCCACGACGCCATTCACCCTTTAAGAGTAATATAGGGTAACACAAAATGCAGTTGTATTGATACAACAATGACACATACAAAAAAAAGGAAGCTAAGTCTACAGGCACTTCACACGACCCATGCCAACAAAACTTACCCCCCCTCCTCAATCTCTCCAAGAAGGGTTCGACGACAAAAGACCCTTACATCAAAAAACAAGGGGGGGGGGGGGGGTTATAAAAAGAAAAACTGAACGTTCAACTACAGGTAGAGAAAAACAAGAGAAGCATGTTTATCCCAAGAACTCCTTGAGATCCTCCGCCTCTTCCAGTAGAATCTGGAAGGAAAACGGTTGGAAGGGCCAACCGCCAAACTCGGCAAACTTGGAGAATGACTCGACCCAGGCCAGACGGAGCGAGTGAAGCATCGCGCTTGTGCCTTCCATGCAGACGAGGATAGCAATGGCTGTGGGGTCATGTTAGCTTGCTGTCTCTCGAGAGGAGCAGTGTATACGGGGGGACGAGCTTGCGAGCATGGGCAGAAATGATCCGAGCGTGCCAAGGAGAGAAGAGGAGGAACTTACTGAGGAAGAGCCAAAAGGCAAAACAGACGAGAACCATGATGGAACCAAGGATACCCTCAGTAGCCAGGGCGGGTCCGAGAGTCATGTTCCATAGGACGACACTGAGCTGCTGGTGGGCGAGGGACAGGGCCCATAGACGGAGGTAAGAGGCCGAGTGGGAGACGCAGTTGAGGCAGAACTCGATGGTGTGGATGACCTGGTGGATCATGATCTCGGAAAACTCAAACTCCTCATGCTCGCCCTCCTCGATGTTCTGGGCGATCATGGCGACGCCCTCGCCGTCGTCGAGGCTGTTGCCGTGGCCGTTGAGGAACGAGGTGCTCTCGCCGCCGGCGCCGTCGTCCTCGCCGTCCAGGGCGCTGACACGCGACACCTCGCCGATGCCGCGGTAACCCTTGGCGCGGGCGCGGTTGTGCTCCCACCGGAGGTACAGGGGCTTGAGGAGGAGCAGGACGGGAACCTGGGCGAAGGCCAGCAGCAGGAGGAAGACCTGCACGCCCGCCTGGCCCGGGTAGAGCTGCTCGCCCTCGACAATGGTGCCGGGCTGGAGGAACATGTAGATGAGCATGTTGAGCAGGCCGGGGGGCTGGCCCTCGGCCGTCTCCCAGTTGATGGTCCACTTGTATATGATGCAGATGACCAGGTAACCGAAGATGGACTGGAAGAAGATCATGCCGGGGACGAAGTTGCCCCAGATGTCGATGGGCTTGCGGAAGTGGCGCGCGTTGATGTACGAGAAGCACAGCGAGTACGTCATGTGGGCCCAACCTAGGATGATGGACATCTTCATCTTGTAGCTGTTGGAGAACAGGAGGTCGTTGTCGGTTCCGTGCCAGGCGTAGTCGAGACCGAAGGGGTAGCGGTAGCCCTCCTCGTTGAGGACGGCGACCAACGCCTGGCCCTCCTTCCAGCCCTCGGGCTTCTTGAACTCCCACGCGCTGGGGAAGATGGTCATGGACTTGGAGAAGACGTCGTTATACACGAGACCGGTGAAGATGGAGAAGACGGCCATGACGAGGGCGATGTAGCGGCCGTAGAAGATCATGGCAAATAGCTCGAACGTCACCTTCTTGAGCGGCCGCTCCCAGTAGATCATGGCCAGCGAGGCCGCCAGCATGATGAGGGCGTGGCCAAAGTCACCAAACATGACGGCGAAGAGGAAGGGGAACGTGACGATGACGGGCATGGCCGGATTGACCTCCTGATACGTGGCGGTGCCGTAGGCGTTGACAATGGTCTGGAAGCCCTCGGTGAACTTGTTGGTCTTGAGGTACGTGGGCGGCGTCTTGTTGGTGCGGATCTCGTTGATGATGGACGGCACCGACAGGCCGGCGCGGTTGGTCACGTCCTGCAGAGTGGAGCGGATCAGGGGCAGATCGTTGGTCGGGCACCAGCCCTCGGCGATGAGGGTACGGCGCGCGCGGTCATACGAGAAGTTGTTGAGCGTGTTGTAGACCGACTTCTCCTTGGAGATGAGCACCATCCAAGCCGACAGCGACTGCGAGATCTGGTTGAGCTCCCCCTGCAGCGTCGTCTGGGTGTTCTTGAGCACGTTCTGAACGTCCTCGAGGCGGCTATTGACCTCGTGGATCTGGTCGCGGCGCAGGTCGCTGTTCTCGTCGACGCTGTACACGTCGGCGCCCATCGACTCCGAGATGCGGCGGATCTTGGCCAAGATCTCCTTGCCGTGCGCGAAGATGACGAAGACGTTCTTGTCGATGGCATCATTGTTGGTCGGGTCGACGAGCGGCTCGGGGATCTCCGACTGGTTCATGTACAGGTTGCCGCGCAGCGTGCGCCACAGGATGCGCTCGAAGGCCCCGATGCGGTCGCGGTTGATGACGCCCGCCACGAAGCCAATGTTCATGCCCGAGAAGGACCTGTCCACGTCGGCCGCCGAGTTGTGCTGCTCCACGTCTGACAGCAGCGGCGCATCGTCATTGTCGGTCGACTGCCTGATCTCGTCGACGTTGCCATGCGCCCGGTCGAAGAAGCTACCGGCCTCGCGGAGCACCCAGCGCCACTCGGTCAGATCGCCCTCGCGTTTCTTGAGAGTCTCGTAGCTATCATTAAGGGCAGAGATGCGCTGCTCGAGCTTCTGGCTGCGTTCGGCGAGCTCTACAATCTCCGTTGTAGATGGGGCTGCGAGCCTCTCAACGTCTAGATCGAGCTTCCTCAGGGGAATTCCCGTCTTTTCCATCTGACTGTGAAAGTAGCCTGCATCGTTGTTAGCTCTTCATTTCCTCCGTTTCTTCTCGCTCCCTCCAATTCCCCTTCCATCATTTTCCTTTCCTCTCTCGATCCACTCTCTTGAATTCTTTTTCTTTTTCTTTTCATGTTCCTCTTCTTCTTTCGTCGATCTGGGAGGGTAATAACGCACGCAGCTGCCTCTCGACATTGTCGAGTCGTCGAATCTCCTGGGTAAAAGTACGCTGGAAAGCGGAGACGTTCTCGTTGAGCTGCGAATTGTTAGCCCTCCCTTTCCTTCCTTACTCTTCCCCATCGCGTCGCGGTGGAGGGAGGTGGTGCAGTGCAACTACTCACGTCACGGAACTGGCAGAGACCAAGCTCCCCGAGGGCAGTGACAACCTCGCGTCCAATCTCGTTGGAGACGTAGAGCTGGACCAGGCTCATCTCCGCCGAGCGGAACGGCGTGTCCTGTTTGGTAGCCATGTTGATGGATGGCACCGTTTCTCGCGCGGTTGATGGTGGATGGGTGGTGGTGGTGGTGGGTTTGGTTAGAGGCGTAATACCATCTCCCCTTGAGCCGGCTTCAGCCTCTCTCCGGCTCCAGGACACGTGGACGGTGATATTGTTTTTCCGTCCCGACCTAGAGAGTATGGGTCACGTGGTCCGGTCCCATACCCGTCAAACTGTGCTGTTTACATTTACACATCACCGTAATTTTTACAGAGCAATGGAGCTTCTAGAGCCTTTTTTTTTTTTTTTTTTTTTTTTTTTTTTGAAAAAAAATTATATTCCTGTACAAAGAGTGGAGTGCTAACGACAGCTAGAAGAGAAAAAGAAGAAGGGAAAACAGCTTGTTACAATGCGATGTAAGGAGAAAGATGAAACCGAACCACCATGCTTTGCTCCTAAAGGTATCAACATCTGCCAAGAATAAATCGATCAAAAACGTAAACGGAAAGAGAAAAGCTTAAAAAAAACTGAAAAGAGAATAACAAAGAATGAAGACGTGTCGTAGAGAAAGAAAAAAAAAGAAAGGGAACATTGCAAGGCTATTTTTTTTGGGTCTCATTTCTTTTTCCATGGTATATCCATCCTATGCTCCTATGCAGCCCCGTAAACATAACGCCATGCCAAAAATATCAGACGTGAAACTTAGGAACAGAAGAGCAGATGAGAAAAAAAGGACGTAAAGCAGTAAAAAATAAAGACAAGAGGCATAAGAGAAGATCAGGTGCTAGGTTGGAGAAATAAAAATTGTTGGATGAAAAAAGAGATGGATCCGTCCGTAATGCTATGCAGATGCTGCTTGCTTGTGAAAAAAAAAACCAATAAAAAAATTTGAAGAGAGAATCTTGATGGGAAAAGCAAATGGGAAAATCATGACGTGTCGCTCTCATATACTCTTTACTTCCGCGTCGTTGTGTTGTTATTATTTCATAGTCGTCGTCCAAACATGAAAGAGCCGTACATGCCACCAACCTCGGCGACTGCGACGGGAATCTTGCGCATGCCCCAGCTCTCGGCGCCCATCTTCCACCAGCGGCTGCCATTGTCGGGGCTGGTGGAGCCGTCGTCGCTGCGTCGGACGAGCCAGTACCTGCTGCCGAACTCGGTGGGGGACCAGCCGACGAGCTCGAGGTTCTTCTTGGTCTTGGCCGCGCGCTCGTAGGCGCGCTCCTCGATCTCGATAACCTGCAGGGGTGCAGTGTCGGCGGCGAGGAGGTCGCTCGCGCTGCCCAGGCGGGCCTCGATGTCGGTGATGTCCAGGTAGTGCAGGTTGTGGGGCTTGGACCGCTTCTCGCCTCCGTCGTCGTCGTCGTCGGCATCGCTGTTGCTCTGGTAGAAGAGGTCGTGGATGTCTCCGAGCTCGAGGCCGCGGCCGAGGGCCAGCTCCTCGAGGGTCAGGATGAGGGGCTGCAGGAGCTCGACGTGCGAGGGCTCCATGCGGCTGCCCTTGAGGCTCAGGGAGCGCAGGGTGGGCGGGAGTCGGGGGAGGAGGTGCTCGATGTCCTCCTTGCCGAGGAGGAGGTGGGTGCTCGCGTCGGCGGCCAGGCTGAGGAAGGCCAGGCTGTCCTTGACGGCCGGGTGGGTGGTGAGGAAGTTGACGACGGCTTCGCCCGAGAGCTCGCGGCACTTGGCCAGGTTGAGGTGGGTGATGCGGGCCGTCGTGGGGATGGAGGCCAGGGCGCGGTCGGTGACGCGGGTGCCCGCCACGTCGAGGTGGGTGATGCGCGTGAGGCGGGGCAGGATGGTCTCGTACACGGCCGAGGGGAGGCCCAGGCACTTGTGGAAGGAGAGGCGTTTGATCTGCAGCGTCTCGGGCCACATGCTCTCGTCGATGAAGGTCTTGAACGAGTTCCTGAATATGGCGGTGGAGCAGGCGCAGAAGTCGAGGGCCTGCAGGTGGGGCAGGTCGAAGAAGAGCTTGCGCAGCACCTCGGGGCTCAGCTCCTCGTCCAGGTACTCCTGCGCCAGGAACTCCTGCAGGAAGGGCGTCAGCTCCAGGCACTGGGACAAGGTCTCGGCCGTCAGGTTGCGCGCCTGAGCCCTCTCGCTAGCGCTGGAGAACATGGTGGACGGGTTGAAGTGGCTGAAGTCGAGGCGGCGGACGATGGAGGCCAGCGAAGGGTACTCGGTGATGGTGTTGAGGAACTTGCGGAATATGCGCGAGTGCGGGATGGTGATGCGGCGGTAGAGCGTGTTGAGGGTGGTGGAGTGGATGGTGCGCGACGTGGTGAGCAGCGACATGAGGTCGGCGTTGCGCGTGGTCAATCCGTTGGGAGGGAGCTCGACGACGAGGCGGTCGATGATGTCGCCTGGCGTTTCGTGTTAGCTATATGTACATGCATTCCAGCGCGTTTGCCTCTCTTATCCCGTCCGCTGCATGCGACGGGCCGCAAATAGTATGCTGCGCTCTTTCTCTGGCAGGATCGGGAATGCTCACCGAGGACCTCGGTGGGTAGAGACTCAAGAAGGGACTCTCCAGGAGGGCGAGAAGTGACACGAGGCTTCCTGACGTCCTCGTCGTCAGGAGTACGCGGAGGGCTCCACGACATGAAGAGGCCACGCAGGTTCTCGGAGCTGCTGCTGGCCTTCTTCCCCTTCAGGGGGATCTCCCTCCAACCGCGGAAGCTGGTCGCGGGCAGCCAGAAGCCTCCATGGAGCTGGCTGTGCGGCCTGGTCAGGGGCGGCTGAAAGATGGCGGCGGCCTGCTGAGCGGGCAGGCCGTTGACGGGGGACTGAGCCTCATCAAAGACGTCGACATCGTTTATGTAGGACGAGACCTTGGAGCGGGTAAAAGTCTGAGCTAGGCCGTCATCGTCCTCGCGGACCGAGGAGAAGGAGGAGCGGGCCGTCTTCTCGGAGGGGGAGCTGGTTCCGTTCCGGCTGATGAAGTTGTTGGCGGTTGTCTTGATGGTGGTCATACTTGGAAGAGAGGTGGCCATGTAATTGGCATTATCTTGCTGCTGCTGCTGTCGTTGAAAGAGGTCAAGCACCGCAGTAGGGTGGCGGGAACCATGGTCGTGAGCCATGTAAAGTATCTCTCTCGTAATATTTATATATATATATATATATATATATATATATGTACGTATGAGAGCTGGCGTATAGGCGGGGAAAGCCGAGAGAGAGGGCAGCCCGAGAAACAAGGCTGTATCCGTGTGCGATGGTCGTGGATGATGACGGGCAAGGATGAGACCAGGGGGGTGTAGTGTGTGTGTGGTGTGGTGTTGGCCGGAATTCGGGAAGGGGGGCGGGAACGCGGTCAGCTTGGTATTGGGAGAAGAGTGGTTGGTCGGCAGAAGGGGAGAACAAGGGCGGTGATGGGAGGATCCCGGAAATACAGAAGAGGAAGAAAGGTGAAGGAAGGAAAGGAAAAAAAAGTGAGGATGAGATGTGGATGTCTGAGCAAGGCGGGCAAAAGCGTCGGTAGCGCACAGGCAAACACGACACACACGCACGCGCACACACACAACACGCAAAGGTTCTTTCTATTAGTCAAACAACGTTGAATTTAGGTAACAAGATGAAAGAAAGGGCCAATGCGGGGAGGGCGGGGAACGGAAGAGAAGCTATTTGTGATTGTGCAGTTGTGTGGTTGTCGGGAACTGGGAATTCGGTTGCCTCGTTACCCGAGAATGTCATGAAAAGAGGGTAGAGATGATGCAAGAAGGGGTAAGAGCCAGAGCAGGAGGGATAGCCAGAGGATGAGGGGAGGAGGGGGAGTTTTGTCGTTATTGTATAGAGAGAGGAGAGTGGCGAGGATGAGTAGCAGAGCAGTGATACTAGTAGAAGTAATCTGCAGTAACAGTACAGATTAGTAGCGTACGAGTAAGGCTCCATTGGATTGATTAAAGACGTACGAGGAAAGAGAGAAAAAAAAAAAGTAGGGGAAAAAAAACAGGGGCAGAACTGCGAAGCCGGAGGTGGGCTGCCAACCAGCTAGTCAGTATTAGACTATTGTTGTCATCTAACTACGACATACAGCATGATACCGACAAGGCACTATCATTACTAGCTGGCGACGGTCCGAATGACGGCCGGAGATGGCGGACACGGTGAGTAGCAGCAGACCTGCATGGTAATAATATCTATGTAGGCACTACTGCAACACCAAGTATCCGTAGAGAGAGAGGGAGGGAGAGAGGGCATGAGCTCATATTCAGTTCTGGAATTGGGTAATGGTAATTCAGCCAACAAACTTGGGAGAAGCTTGCAATATTTTCACGTGGTCTTGTTTATAATATTACATAACATCTGTAGTGAATGTGTAATAAGGGAAGCCCTCCCATCAGCAGCTGCCTCTTCTTTCCTGTCTTCTCGGTCTGTCTAGAACTCCAGGTCTCTCTCTCTCTCTCTCTGTCTCGCGACCATTTAAGCGAGAGACAGTGCCCCTTCTGGGCTATGGCCTAGACGATGATTGGTCAGGTATTTAGTAATGGAGACTACGTGGATTCTAGGTCAGGAGCCTCAACATGGGAAGGAACATCCCGGGGAGATGGAAAATTTCTAGAGGGCAGGAGCCACACTTAGCCAACTGCCAGTCTGCCGACTCCAGAGAGTTACGAAACGTAACGTAATGGATCATGTGAACCTTTTCATTCGCTAGCACTAAGCAGCCAAAGTCCAGGAATGTTATTTTTCTTTGAAAATAAAAATGAAGTGAAATAGAATGAAATTTT